CAGAGTCCTCTCTTTCCATATACTTGCTACGAGTTATTTTTGGTCGTCCCGAGATCTTCGGCCTGCCGGTCGGACAAGTAGTAGTTATTTCCCTTTTCCTTCTGATGGCGTTTGTGACAGGTGCCCAAATCCTCGCAGCTGCCACTTTTCAACCTGGAGAAGCGGCGACTGTACACCGAAGATCCGTTGACAATGTCAAGACGAATCTAATATCAGTTTGATCCAACGGAGATCGGCTGCTCTTGTGACATGTCCTGTCCATTGCCATGGCATTCAGGCTTAGAATCCTCTTTCTGGATTCGCAGGTTAGCACTGCTCTCAAACACTGATCGAAAACTTTCCGCTTGAAGCACAACGAAAGATTTCTGGATTAGGACACTTTCAATCTTCGAACAACGTACCGTACGAATTTTGTTCTTCCACCATCGCAAAGTTGGTTTTCCGTCCCAAAAATGAGGCTGTTACAATGGTACAGGCTGTTCGAGCAGTGTATTTGTAAACGGCTTTGAAAACTGACTAATTTCGATGACTTAACTTTGAGGCTATGAAACGAATAATTTATTGGAGCTCTGATAATTGGCTTTATAGTGAGCGGGCGTTGTGCAAAACTCAGTTCCTCGATTACTGGACAGGATTACCAAACGTAGTCTGAGACTGGGGCCGATTCTGCTTCTCCACCGTTACAGTTGAAACTCTCGGCGGTTGGAGGTCTCGCTCAATCAGTTGCGTTAATACCAACGAGTATTCGTTCAACCAACTCGATTTTCGGTTCTCGCTCATGGGAGTTATACAGGAGGAAAAAGACGATATTTTAGCCTCGTCACGAAACGGAGTTATCGTTATTTGATAGCCACAAAGTTTGAAGTTGCTGAAGACTCAGTGACTGAGGCTAGGCGGGCGATATGTCACACTGAACGCTGCTCGATGTCATCGATTTCACAAGAATACCAAAGTCAAATCGTATCTGGTTGAATACAACGGTCCACGCCGCTACCGACCGAACCGGGTCTGGCCATTACCGACCGCGGAGAAGATATATGCGATTATTCAGCAGTAATTGTGAAGCTATTGTCTTTCCTCAAATCGTTACGGGACGTTTTTAGTGAATAGGCCGCTTCGTCTTCTAGTTGTAATCACTTCGTGATATGAAATTATCAGTCAGACAGTTTCGATCCTTCTAGTCGCCGTGGCCGATGCATCAGACGGTATCTCCAGCATTTCCGTGTCTGAGCTTCGACAAAGAAAGCCCAAGTATGAAGCGGAGTCCCCCGACGCCTTTTCCTCAGATCGTCATTTGTCGTCTCCAAGATCTTCTGCCAGACGAAGCCATAGACGCAGCAGCTTTCGTCCTTTCCTGGGCTTGTCTAAACGACCGAGTCATGAACCAGTAGCAACTGAGATGCATTGCGGTACTCAGCTCATTAAAGGATGGGTTTTACTCCATCTTTGATTGAGTAATAAACTTTTGTTTACTTCTCTTTCGCTGTCTTGCAACGAAGATGCAATAAATGGATAATTTTCGCCTCGACCAATCCTCACTTACTGAACGATCGATAATGAGTGTGTTTTGTCGATATTTTGTAATGAAGGCGTTCTGTCCCGCGCATTGTCTCGGTTCAGCACGTGGTGGATGTCAGTTGGAAGATGACAACTGCTCTGAGCGTTTCGAAATATTGCAACCTCAGTGCACCTTCCCTCATCGGCGCTGCTGAACGAGAGAGGCGGTTGTTTTCTACCGACTGTCCGTTAAACCTGTTACGTAATCGACCAAGAACGTTGATTATCATTTGTATTATAGTTTTCACCAATCGATTCGTCGGTCAACCAGTTTCGTTTGGAACGAGTGAAAAATATTGACTCAGACGCTGTGTGCATGCACTATTGACTCTCACACGCAACTGCTCCAAAACCGCATTACGCCTCATAATTTTTCCAAATGTTTTGGCGTGGTAGCACAGTGGTGTCAGATCCGGAGGTGCCGAATTCGAACTCTCTTAAAGCACACGGCCTTTGTCTTTACTGCGAATTCACCTGAGGAAGAAACTCACCCACCTTACTGTAGCGCAACTGCTCGAGAAACCGGTAGTAAATCGATAACTTACGAATGAGGTGGAAAACGTAGCATGGAAGAGCTTTCATTCGATCCAACCAATGAATGAAAAGTACTTTTTATTCTGTTAAGTTGCCATCACTGGAAACAGGCTTTGAAATAGCTTTTACCGTCGACGTTAAG